TTCTTTTGTACAATCATATTCTACTTTTATGACTCGTATTTGTATTCATTACATGTATCTTTCCTGTACATTATTGTTCTCGAGTATGTTGTATTTATATCATGCCTGTTTATCTTTCTCGCGCTTTGGTCTTCTATATATTGTCTTTGTATTTTATATGCGTATATATATTTTATCTGCACTTTGTTATTGTGTATTTTTTTGTATCTTTCTTGTGCGATGTTTTTGATTATGTTGTCTTTGTATCATCAATATGCATCGTTCTTAAGAACCTCGTCTTGTATTATTTTGTTTGTTCATTTTTATTCTTTGTCTCGTTATGCATGTGTTACTTGGTTGAAATATTATCTTTTTATTTTAAAAATTATTGCGATTTAAATGTAAGAGGATTTATGTTTAATCTTCTTCGGCGTTGTACAGCTGGGTCCGTTTAGCTTGAAGGTCTGGTATTAAGGAAAAGGCGTCTTTCTCCTTTCGCCTCTGTATGTTTGTCTGAATGTGTTTTTCCAGTTGCGTGGAACCTTTTTAATATAGTCGAGAATCATGTTACGTTCAATATGTAAAGTGTCATAAAAACGATCGTAAAACTAATTTTATGTATATTTATACACAGTTGCGTGACATGTTTTTAATATAGAGTATAATCATATTACCTTCTACATATAAACTGTCATAAATCTATCATAAAACTTAATTTTATATTTCAAAGAACACAACTGTTTAAAAAGCAAATAAAGTTAATAGCATATCAACAATTGGAAGCTCAAAAAAATAAATAATTAAAAAGCGTCACATTTCTTATCTGATAATTAATCGCATGAGTCCATTCGAAGCAAAAATATAACTTGCATTATATACATAATCTCCTGTTGAATCATATTGAACGAAAGGCAGGTTTTGTTAACGTGTAAGCCTAAAAACATTACATGAAATTATTATTTTTGTTGCTACAAAATATTTTTTTCGCTAATCAGTTGTAATATGATTTAATTTTAACGTTTGAACACGAAGGAGCGAAAGTTATAAAAAATAATGCTTGAAAATAATGAAAACATGTGTGAGACCCTGTTTGAATGGTTATTGTTATGCAATAATCAGACTTCGTGATAAATAAAAAAACCAAAACGACACTGTACTGTTAACGAAATGTCATATAACTGAACAGAGAAATTTTTTAGCCTGAAAATTTTATTACACGATGTTTCGGTAAACGTCCTTCTTTAGGTATAGATGACAAGGCCGAACACTAGTTTATCACAAACACCTGTAGAATGATGGCTGGGCGTAGTAGTGGTCAGCATACTCTGGCTGTGAATTCAATGATCCATGGTTTGCAGCTCATTTCTGCAAAAACGCTGTAACTTTGTTAGGGAAATCCCACTATTTCGTTCGAACAAGGGTAGTCCTATAGTTAGCAGAGGTCGCTGTTGACTAGTTACCTTCCTTATAGTTTATAAGCACAAAATTCATGGCAGCTTTTAACAGAGGTCACTTTGGCGTTACGTCAAAATTTTGAAATAAGCAAACAACGAAATAAAACATGCAAAAGAGCATTCAATCAAAACATTATGTGGTGCAGTTTTCCTTTTTATTGTGTAATGTATCTTATGTATACGCTGATCTTTATTATGCTCATGTTTAATGGACGTTATTTGATATAGCGGAGAAACGTATGTCCAGTTGGTAAACAACGCTTTATAACTAATATCAAAAGAGAAGTGTTTTAAAGATATACGTTTTGCGGCTACAACCTTCTTAAAGACACGAACACCACAAAATAAAAAATCACACGTAAAAGACCAATGGTTTTGTAGAACGTCAGTGACAAAAAGGTGGTTGTAAGAGGCTTGTGAAACATGTAGGAACATATTTGTATTGAGCAACTTCACTTACTTTAACTTGAGAAAAGAAGGGGATGAGGTGATCTTATTGAAGCTTACAAGATTATCCAGGGGATCGATAGGACAAAGGCTTCATATCTCTTAGTTCTATACTTTGAGGATAATAGGACGAGAGTAAACAAGTTTAAGATTTGGAAAACAGGAGCAATAGTGGAAGCCGGCACGTTACTGGCTTCGAAAAGGGGAATCGAAGATTTTCTGAAAAATAACGAGTCAGTTTAAATTTTAAATATCCAAACGACCCCTTATTTTCTGTTTGTTATTATACCTGAGTATATACGCAAACATTTACGAAACAGCTGTTTCCATTACTACCTTGATGCCAATTAATTGCCCGAATATTCTGATGCGTTTCAATGTGCAAGAAAATAAACTTAGAACTTATTTTTGTATAAACTTTAGTAACATGTTCTTCGTAGTCATTGGTGGCGTATAGTCTTCAAAGAGAACTTGATAGTAGGACTGAAATAATGAAAATCTTTCAGTATGTGTAACTCGTCTCAATACTCCAGAGATGATACTAATAATCCTATACATATTTATTAAAGTGTACTTGTAACTCATGGTCCTATACTACAGAGGTATCATTAATAATCGATATATCCATGTCTCACAGTGTGTGCGTAACCCATAGCCCCGTACTACAGAGATATCATTAATAATTCCTCACATATCTAGTTCCAAGCCCTTATATCTTAAGGGCTGGTGTTTAAGCGTCTGTATATATATACTTCATTGGAAGGTCCTTATGCTAAATTATTAAAGTAACTTTGTTCCACAACAAAACGTATCATGTACTGAACTGGGTCTACAGTAAAGTTAAACAACTTAGTGTTATTTGGTAAGTGAGATACAGTCCTTACTTGACAGATAATAATTAATGTATTTGGCATTCAGAAAGACTCATCTGTGCTAAAACAAAATGGATCTCCTAAAACAACTGTTAACTCGTAGGAATTTATATATGTTAATGACCTTCAACCCATAATTCTGTGACTTTGTTTTTATAATCACTTGAAATAAAAACATTTTCTATTCATTTCTATGTTTGAATACAGCCGTGTACAAATATATATTTATTAATTTACAGAAAAATATGTTGACAGAATATATCGTTTATTTTTACACCTCTTCGATTTAAGAGATTTAACAATACCATTTTTCAATGCTGTTTACAATAATGACGTGACGAAAAACACCACGTGTCTTTCTTTCTTTCTGTCTGTCAAATTGCCGTGCAGTGGTGAAGCAGAACTTTGATTAAGACACTGATATTGTGTGACAGAGTGATTTGAGCCCAAGTGACAGTTCTGGTTTTACATATTTATAATCTAGTGTTAAAATATCTTAATAAGTAAAAATACTTTAAGAATTATATA